CCACCGTTGTCGATGGCTCCACCGGTACATTCCAATCAGCCGGAGCACGCCGAACTCATAGACCACCGTACTGCTGGGACCAACTCAGACCACGGACAATCGACCACAAGACACTGACCTTCATGTTCAGGCGACGGCAGCCCTGCTGGAGCAAGCAACGGCATTGACTTTCACTTTCGGACCGCTGGTGCAGGTGACAGGGACAAGAACGGTAAGCCAACAGACGGCAGGATCCGGCGATGCAGGACGCATCAAAGAAGACGTGGCCGAAGGTACAGGGAGTACATTGATGCATGGAGCATCAAAGGCCGGGTGTCCGCCGATGCAGTGTGCACCACAGGAGAAGAGACCACTGTACCATTGTTGGCAAGTAGGGCCACAGGTGGCTGGGCTGACCTGGTTTTGGGTCTGGCTACCGCACGCTCCGGAAATAGGTTCTATAAATACATGTATAGGTTGCTTAAAGTGGGTAATAATGGCTCCACGCACGCAAAATATATATCGCTGCATGCATGCAATGCGGTAGTCTGGTTCAAAGACCAAATGATGCTGAATATTGATATTCAATTATACCGACTTGGCGAATACTTTTTCAATTTTGTATACAACATATATCTATATGGGAGTATTTTGAATCACTAGCGAATTCTATGCGAGCATTCTGATTGGTTCAGATTTCATAGTGTATTATAGGCCGCCACGGAGGATCATTTTAATAACTTCGAGGGTTTGCACTTTGTGTTGTGTAACATTACAAAAATCATTATAGGACATGCACGATTCAAGTAAATCAAGCATATACGTACTACATGTAGTTTTATACCAGCCTTGCCGATGGAGTTCGACTGAAGTTCAAGGACAAAATACACCTATCTAACGACTTGTCATTAAGTCTAGGTTAGTTGCAGTAATGTTCTGGTAGCGGTGCGGCTAGTTGACCGCAGACTAGAGTCCGCTTGGCGAAATAAATTAGATCTTCCTTCAGAGTTAAAAAATCCCGTCTGTGTGTCCCCTTTTCTTGCGTTTTGCGTGACTTAGCGGACAAGAGCCCAGTAGGATCCCGCAACATAATTTTAAACTTTAAACATGGGAACAGAATAATGAAATTAAAATGTTGATGCAACTTGCTACAGCGTTACATCAATGTGGAGCGCTGACAACATCCTGTCATCGTGCACACTGTATTACAAAATGTCATCTTCAATAAGATTTGAGGATTTGCATGGTGGAGATTCTAAATAATGAAAGGTTTGCGGAAACACCATGTGCGAATAATTTCTCAACTAAGAGAATGATTCTGAAAAGAACCAGACGTAGAAACGAGTTTTTACCTCTGGTTCTTTTCAAAACCATTCTCTTAGTTGAGAAATTATTCGCACATGGTGTTTCCGCAAACCTTTCGTTATTTAAATGTCATCTTTTCACGACTAATGGGGGGGAGGACCGTTCGCATGTGACGTCACCTTCTGACATCTGCTACTGCAATTTTTTTGCACCGCGCCTGGGGGGGACTGAAAAAAAAATCCATGATCGAAATCAAGATCACGGAAAGCCTCTTCCAGCATTGCCTACAAAAAGATGGAGAACAGTGTGGGCGCCAGCACACACCCTTACTGTACACACCATTTGTCGCAGTGAAGGTGTCCGATGTTTCACCTACATCTCTGACTTCGGCCATCATTCCAGTGTAGTGCCTCTACCATCCCAGTGAATTTCTTCGGACATCAGTAGTACTGTCGGAACCCTGACCTGCCCACAGCATCGAATGTTAAGGCCTTAATGTTATCTCATACTTGGTGATGTTATGATTTGTGTTTTCATGCCTTGCCAGACACAATGTGCGCGTTACATTATCTTAAAGTTAAGGCCTTAATGTTGTGTAATATTGTTATTTCGATAATGGTCTTAGTGATGTTATTTCTGACAAAACGTTGTTATGGCGACATGATCTGAAAGCGTAATTTTTACATTTTAACATCCGAAAATAAGGTCCTGATGTTATTTTATAATGTTATAGCGACATGGTATTGATGATGTTATTATTGTGTTTTCGAAACATTCCATTTCACAACGTTAGATATAATGTTCCACGCACTTTTGAGGCAAGTCGCAGTATTATTGTTTCTAAGACCATATTGTTAAATATCATGACAGCATATTAGACATAATACCACGTTATTAAACATCGATGTGTTAGCTGGGTAAATCTTATGTAAAACATTTGGTAAACACATTTTGATAATATCATTTTTACATACCTGATAAAAACGTCAAATCTGAGGGATTTGAATAACGTGATTAAATTTTGATTGTTCACATTATATCACATTTCCTCCATAAACCTTGTTTTAAACATTTGGTAATAACGTTTTGAAAATATCGCTTCAACCAGGGGCGGATCCAGGGGGCGTGGGGGCGCACGCCCCCCCCCCTTTTCCTTAAAAAAAAAATTAATTAAATAAGTTAAAAAAAAATAAACAAAATAAAAACCACGATATGAAGAGGGAGAGAGACTCTGAAAGAGAAGAAAAAAATAGGGGGAGACAAAGTTACCGCCGTTTCCTGCTAAGATTAGTTGCACATTTTTTTATTGGGGCTCATACTTTTAAAAAGCGACGGGTTTATCGACGAGACAGAGCGACGAGACAAAAAAATGCGGCGACGCATTTAATGTATATTACATGTATATTATTGGTGGAGTTATAATAGCAGCCGCGCACAATGTGCGTCGTGTCAACGCTTGCGCACACTTCGCAGAATAAAAAATAACAAACAAAACAAACAAACCGAAATTAAACGACAGCTTGCCAGAAAGAATAATTTCACGGAGAATTTAGTCCCATTACTTTCTTTAAACCAAGTATGCTTTTCAACAATAATTACGTCAGTTGCTTTTTGGATAGCTGCAAATGATGGACTGTACCTTCAAAGTACAGATCTAAAGTCATCAGCAGACAAGCGAAAGCAAGAAACTCATAGAAGTGATTATGTTTGTGTCCTTAGAGCAAGAGTATATATGCATTTTGAAACAAATGAAACAAAATTTCTCCTTATAATTTTACAAACTTCTGCTAAAAAAAAAATCAGGATAAAATGGCCAGGAAGCACCTCAGATTGCAGCACAGAGCATCTAGAATCCAAAATTTGTTCGGGCCCTTCAGCGGGCCCCGGACCCCACGCCGTAAGGGCTTCGCGCTTGCATTAGTACTCGCACCACGAAAATCCCCCCTTGGAAAATCCTGGATCCGCTCCTGTCAACATATTGGATAAAACGTTAAATTTGAGGCATTTAAATCACGTTATTAAAAGTGTTTGTATATATCATATTTCCTCCGTAAAAATCTTGTTTAAAACATTTGGTAATAACGTTCTAATAATATCATATTGACATACCTGATAAATTTGAGGCATTTTGAGTTTTTTTGTATATATAATGATAGTTTCTCTATAAACATTTGGTAATAACGTTTTGATAATATCGCTCGATTCAGTACCTGATAGAACGTCAAATCTGAGGGATTTAAATAACGTAATTAAAATGTTCTTGTATATGATATAGCCATTAAAATATTATTTTTGAATGTTTTATATATAACATTGTTACGACTGTTCAAAAATGTTATCACAGCATTATGTGTTTTCTGGGATGCATGAAAGTTGCATTCATGGAGACACCGGCGAATTTACGTATTTGTTTTGGTAAGACGGATCCTTTTTTTTTATAACCGTGTGTTGAACAATCTATCGTCCATGCAAGGCTGAGTATGTTCAAAAATAAACAACCATGCTGCGCGCGCGCAGAGGTGATCCAATCAATGGCTTTAAATGGGAGCTAGCTACCGGTTCCCACTGATCTCTATTACATATCAGTGCCAGTCCCCAAATTATTTGTTTTTGTTGGGGGGGGGGGCGTTTAGGCCTTGCCGGCTGCACGAACGTACGAAGGGTCCAACTGGTCCGAAATTGCCTACGCCGGCCAACTTATCACGATTTACATGCCCTCAAAGTCTTCAGTAAATTGTGGGCCATGAACTTGAGGGTTTGTAAAAAAATAAGGGTGGAAGCCTTGCACAGGACCGTGAGCTTGTATTTCTGTGCAATTTGGATGAAATTGGCCCCTAAAATCGCTCTATTTTGCAATTTCGGGAGTGTATGCACCGTTTTTTAAATGGCAATGGGCTTTGAGGATTTTGAAGGGGTGATGTTCTTCGGATGGAATTTCCTCCCAAAAGTTATGAGATTACCCCAAAACATTAAAAAGAAAATGAAAAATGATGAAATAAGCTTTAATTTGATGTGTGTTTCGAACACCTTGGGGAGTTGTTTGAGTATTTTTCCTGAATTTCTGAAGTGGGGGCATTTATCATTGGGGTCTATGCTTTACTTACTGGTCTGCACCCCCGAGGGTGCACTGAACTAATTCAAGCGAGAATTTCTACGCCAGCTGATTAGCATAAAAAGTGCCCCCCCCCACAATTTCTTTTGAAAACGGAGACCGTTTGGCTTTAAAAACGGTGGAATTGTTTAAATATACCCAAGGATCAACTCCCTGGTTTTGGGGCTTCCATCTGAGGGCAGGCTTGATAAAATCACGGATGTAAAAATGGGTCCTATTTGCCTGTGAAAGTGGAAGGGTGCCACTCTTCAAATGGCTACATTCAGGCTTGGGAACTATCACTTTTCGGGAGGTGATTTTATTTGGGTGTGAATATTTAAAAATGTAATTGGCTAATGTACGTAAAATTGAAAAGAAATGAAAAGATGAAAGACAAGACAATAATTTAATTTTTGTTTCAGAAACCCCAGTGATGTTGGCTTGCATGTTACTTGGCCCTGAACTTTGTTGATTTTACACTGTTTTCAATGGGGCTTGAATTAGTACAGTGGACCCCCGAAGGACAATTGATGGAGCATTGAGGACAGGAAACCAGTCTAGCTGTGCCACAAGCGCGCAGTGTGCCAAACTTTTGTTGTAAAAACTGGTACCCATATCCATTACGGTACTCCACTGACATGATTTGATGGAGGTCCGCGTAGGAAACCAGTGAAGCCTGAAGTTTTTTATCGATCATGTCGATGTATCAAAGATCGTCATTATCGTAGGATCTTTGGTTTTTTGGTTTTATTGTGTAAAAAAATGCTGTGCGTAGGTAAAGAAGTAAACTAGCAGTAGCACTGCATTCACGTCAGTGTGTCCTACAATAATTGGCTACGGTGAATGTCAGTGATAATCTGGGATTTTGTAAGGTGAGATTTGTTAATCTTCCATTGTCTCACGCTTTGGTGGCAAGATTTTGTTGTTGTTTTGCCCGTGTTTCTGACTTTTTTTTGTGGTTTACTTTAGCCTGACTTGAGTTGGTAGGCTACTTTAAGTACTTGGTTAGTCATAATTCCTCCTGAAACATCCTTCAGGGATCTTGAGTAGGACGGAGTGACGAGAACACACTGATTATAACTGTACTGTCTCATCATCTGTGTAGACTGGTGTGAGATTCCGGCCGGAAGTGGGACCATGATGAATACACATCTAATAACTTCCGTATTGCTTCTGCTGCATTTCGGAGGGACAGGCGTACATTCCACCTTCACCAACGAGTTTATATCTAACATTGAAGGAGGGCCGGAAGTTGCTGATAACCTGGCAGCAAGTTATGGATACATAAACTTTGGAGAGGTAAGATATTCACAATAGTAATAGGACCCCTTTCCTATCATGCCTATATAGGCCTAGGCCTAATGTTAAACATGTTAAAAAAAAATAAAAGACTCACCAAAACAGTAGCCCAGGTTGGACGAAGTAACGTAGGGAGGAAAGGGAGTCCACCTGAGCTTTAATAACAGCTGACTTAATGACAATCAAAAATGACATTCTGATAGTACAGTCGTTTTCCTAGTTCCGCATAGTAAACATCATTCAGGCTGCCTTCAGCTCAACTACTCCACAAATTCAAGTGACAATGATTAAAAAGTTTACCTTGAGTGATGGAGAGACCACAAAATAATTTTCAAAATTTAAGCTCTTTGTGTTGTGATTTTAAAAGTACGTCCAAAGTACCGATATCACAAATTTTCACACGCACAAAAAACCATATTTACACTTATAATCAGTGGTGGCCCCCACATAAAAAAGTGTGAATATATTTTTTTGTATAGTGTGTGAGAATATTTTTTTTATTATCTGGCGGCTGCCAGATAATAAGTAGCGGCCGCCACATAATAAGTGGCAGCCGCTGTACAAAAAAAATATTTTCACATGCACTAAATAAATATATTCACACTCATTGAGTGGCACTATCCCTCTTCCGTAGGTTCACATACCTTTGGGAAGAAAAGAGAAATTTCAACTTCAATTCCGGAAACATCCTTGTTGCACACACCTTGTTTGAGGCTGCCATTTTGAATTCAGGAAAAAATGGCTCTGGCTCAGCCTTGGCCTAGCCTTGTCTGATGCGGTACACGCCTATCAACAAATTATTTTAAAATTCCAAAACTTTTACCGGCGTCAAAATGTTGTACCTGTGGCGTCAGTGCCCACGTGAATTTCCAGCTTTACATTGTCCAAGGTACTAAAAATTAGCATGCTTGAATGATGTTGTTGTGTCTTTGTTGTTGTGACTTTCCTTTGACTATGGTTGGCCATTAGGGCAAACACAAAGAATAATCAACAAACTATAAATAAAATGCTGTGTAACTATCAAAACACTGAATAATCAACACCAACTACCAAAAAGTCAATAAGATATCTCCCTCTTACATTCTGAACTTGTCACTTAGAACTATGGGGTGTAAATTAAGCTTCTGCCAACTACGGTTGAATTTATTGAGCATGTGGCTGCCCATACAAAATGTCGCTCAGTGTATTGTAAACAAAAGCCTCTAGTTGCACGGAAAGATTTGCAAAAATCTTCGCCGGACCTCTGCATACCACATACGTTAATGAAATATGACACCCTTGGAAACTTAGTCTGAGCATGCGCACATTAATTATTATAATTGTAATCCGAAACCACGCGAGAAGATGCGGTGATGTCACTATGCAAATACGCGCATGAACTTTGTGCTCGCAAAAAACCAACCCCAGAATTCTGCTTTATCTCTCATAATTCAGATTTTTTGGGCGATTTTCCCTTGGCTATAATAATACTCCATTAATTATTGTAATTTTTCAATTTTGTAAGAACCGAGCTTATATTTTTTGCAATGAAAGATAGGTTTAGGCCAAAAAAAAAAAAAAATCGGTCTCTGGTCATGCTGGTTAAACCAAAGTTCCGGAATTGAAGTAGCGACGTGTTTTTTATGCCCCGCGGCGAAGCCGAAGGGGCATACTGTTTCCGCCTCGTCCTTCCGTGGGTGGGTGGGTGTGTGTGGGTGGATGGGTGGGTGGGTGTGTGTGTCCGGACAATCTTGTCAGCGCGATAACTTGAGAAATACTTAACATATGAACTTCAAATTTGGTTTGTGGATTGTTCTTGGTAATCCTAAGAAGCCTTTTGCATTTGGGGCCAAAAGGCCAAAGGTCAAGTTCACAGTGGCTAAAACAATAGAAATCTTGTCAGCGCGATAACTTGAGAAATACTTAACATATGAACTTCAAATTTGGTTTGTGGATTGTTCTTGGTAATCCTAAGAAGCCTTTTGCATTTGGGGCCAAAAGGCCAAAGGTCAAGTTCACAGTGGCTAAAACAATAGAAATCTTGTCAGCGCGATAACTTGAGAAATACTTAACATATGAACTTCCAATTTGGTTTGTGGATTGTTCTTGGTAATCCTAAGAAGCCTTTTGCATTTGGGGCCAAAAGGCCTAAGGTCAAGTTCACAGTGGCTAAAACAATAGAAATCTTGTCAGCGCGATAACTTGAGAAATACTTTACATGTGAACTTCAAATTTGGTTTGTGGATTGTTCTTGGCAATCCTAAAAAGCCTATTGCATTTGGGGCCAAAAGGTCAAGGGTCAAGTTCACAGTGGCTAAAACAATAAAAAATCTTGTCAGCGCGATAACTTGAGAAATACTTTACATGTGAACTTCAAATTTGGTTTGTGGATTGTTCTTGGTAATCCTAAGAAGCCTATTGAATTTGGGGCCAAAAGGTCAAGGGTCAAGTTCACAGTGGCTAAAACAATAGAAATCATGTATTTATTCTGAGATTATAGGGATTAGGGATTTATTCATATAAAACCTACAGAAGACACTAATGCTGTCAATGAATGTTCCATGTGACCAAGGTACATGTAAGTTGATGTTAAAAGATTGGTGTTATGTCATGGGAACTGTCATCGTTGCGGGGCATTTGTGTTTGTAAACACACCTGACTTGTTTTTTTTAAGCTTGAATTGTACAGACAAGGTGGGCACTATTTTGCTTTTTTTTGTGTCCTTATTATACATTGTTGTCCTCCATAATTGGCCTTCGTGCCCTTTATCATTTTGCTTTTGTGCAATTTCCCCATTCCTTGGTGCTCCTCGTTACAAAAATTTGAGGAGGTGTGGCAATAGAGGGCGCTGTTGTAGCTTCCATGTTAATTTGAAAAAAAAAAAGGTTGACGTGCATGATTAAAATCGACGCGCGCGCTGACCAGAGACCGAGAATTTTTTTTTTGGCCTTATCTTGTTCACGTATTTCACGCTTTCCATGTCATGTTTACGTGTCATTGTAGGGAAGTTACCTGCGTGCAAAGGTATAGGCAGATTGACGAGTGTTTCCGTGAGAATCTTGTTTATTGCTGCTGGGGGACTTTTAAATCCTGCGCAAGATAATCCATTCCAATTGAGAAGTACAAATAGTAATAATTAGATTATAATTTTTTTTTTAATTGCTACCATTATTTTAGTAAAATTTGCCATTTTCCTTTTCTTTATATTTAGTCAAACCTTGTCCACCATTACAATTTTCAGTTTCAAACTCCTTTCTGTTAGAGTATTTTGCCTTTTTGGGCATGGTTCATGAATGTCCTACCCTCAGAATTCGCAAATTAGTAACAAATCAATTGTTTATTAGTAAATCACTGGAATTTAATATTAAACCCTTACTACATGTATTATCTTTAAATTAACTTCAATGACAGCGTTTGAAGAGGCTAGACCCAAGACTTCTTCCTCTAAACATGCTTAACCCTACAATTTTAGTTCATACAGACTGCAATATCACTTCAATCAGGAGATATTTTCTTATGTCTCAATAAATTTCTTTTGTACTGTTCAGAAACAAGTCAAATTGTTTGCATTGTTGGTATGCCGTTGTCAGTATTTACTATTTGATTTCTTTAGTGACATTAATTTGACATTTTTTTCTGATTCGGTTTGTTAAAATTTACATCTTATTTTAATTTTTAGAGGTCTTTATCATGATAAAAATAGGAAAAAGGTTACAGTTTATTGTAATTATATAAAAGGGTTATTTTCGAATTAATTTTTTAAAGCCAGTTTTCTCCAACGCTGGTCGGCCGTTGGAAATTGACACAAAAATACCACTTAAAAATGTCAGCACACCAGGAGCCATGCTTTTACAGAATGCTTTAGACTGTCATTCCCTAACAGTCCAATAAAAAATTTCGTGATAATTCGATCATTTTTTATGCCCCGCGGCGAAGCCAAAGGGGCATACTGTTTCCGCCTTGTCCTTCCGTGGGTGGGTGTGTGTGTGTGTTAGTGGGTGGGTGTGTTCCTGCATTGCATTACGCCTGAGGACAGACAACAAAAGGAGCACAAAGGGGCCATTGATCCTCGAAGGAAGGTGCCTATTGTCCTCGAACGCAGGTTTGTGTGCTTAGTCTATGGGAGATGTTATATTACAGGGACAAAGGAAAACACAAAGCCAATCCTCGGAAGCATAGCAAAAAACGTGTGTGTGTTGGTGAGCTTGTCTTACATACGCAGTGTGGACTTCCGAACAAAAGACGTCCACATAATGTAGGTAGCAGCGACGAAGTGTGGACTTGCCCACGTCCACACAGTGTTTCCCCATTTCTGGAAAACAGGTTTAGAGGCATTTTTGGGTTAGGTTTATCTGTAGCAGAATGAAGAGAAACACTAAAGGGAATCATTGAAAAAAAATTGGGTTGTAAGAGTTTTCACAGTTTGAGAAAAATGAGTTTTTCCACTGGTGTTCCTTAACTACACGAAAAGAAAGGAAAGTCCACACTAGGTATGTGAAACAAGTCTGGGTGGGTGAGTTTGTGTTACATACCCTATGTGGACTTGTGAACAAAAGAGGTCCACATAATGCAGGTTGTGTTAACTTTATGTGGACTAAGCCGTGTCCACATAAGGTTTTGCCCTTTCTGGAAAACAGGTTTAGAGGCATTTTGGGTTAGGTTTATCTGTAGCAGAATGAAGAGAAACACTATAGGGAATCATAGAAAAAAAAATTGGGTTAAAAGAGTTTTCACAGTTTAAGTAAAGTTATTTTTTGTACCGAGTTTTCTTAACTACACGAAAACAAAGCAATGTCCACACAAGGTATGTAACGTAAGTCTGGGTGTGTGGGTGTGTGTGTGGGTGTGTGTGTCGGGATAAATCTTGTCAGCGCGATAACTTGAGAAGTACTTAACATATGAACTTCCAATTTGGTTTGTGGATTGTTCTTGGTAATCCTAAGAAGCCTTTTGCATTTGGGGCCAAAAGGCCAAAGGTCAAGTTCACAGTGGCTGAAACAATAGAAATCTTGTCAGCGCGATAACTTGAGAAATACTTAACATATGAACTTCCAATTTGGTTTGTGGATTGTTCTTGGTAATCCTAAGAAGCCTTTTGCATTTGGGGCCAAAAGGCCAAAGGTCAAGTTCACAGTGGCTAAAACAATAGAAATCTTGTCAGCGCGATAACTTGAGAAATACTTAACATATGAACTTCCAATTTGGTTTGTGGATTGTTCTTGGTAATCCTAAGAAGCCTTTTGCATTTGGGGCCAAAAGGCCAAAGGTCAAGTTCACAGTGGCTAAAACAATAGAAATCTTGTCAGCGCGATAACTTGAGAAATACTTTACATGTGAACTTCAAATTTGGTTTGTGGATTGTTCTTGGCAATCCTAGGAAGCCTTTTGCATTTGGGGCCAAAAGGCCAAAGGTCAAGTTCACAGTGGCTAAAACAATAGAAATCTTGTCAGCGCGATAACTTGAGAAATACTTTACATGTGAACTTCAAATTTGGTTTGTGGATTGTTCTTGGCAATCCTAAGAAGCCTTTGCATTTGGGGCCAAAAGGCCAAAGGTCAAGTTCACAGTGGCTAAAACAATAGAAATCTTGTCAGCGCGATAACTTGAGAAATACTTTACATGTGAACTTCAAATTTGGTTTGTGGATTGTTCTTGGCAATCCTAAGAAGCCTATTGCATTTGGGGCCAAAAGGTCAAGGGTCAAGTTCACAGTGGCTAAAACAATAGAAATCTTGTCAGCGCGATAACTTGAGAAATACTTAACATATGAACTTCCAATTTGGGTTGTGGATTGTTCTTGGTAATCTTAAGAAGCCTTTTGCATTTGGGGCCAAAGGTCAAGTTCACAGTGGCTAAAACAATAGAAATCTTGTCAGCGGGGTAACTTGAGAAATACTTTATTCTGAGATTATTGGGATTAGGGATTAATTCATATAAAACCTACAGAAGACACTAATGCTGTCAATGAATGTTCCATGTGACCAAGGTACATGTAAGTTGATGTTAAAAGAGTGGTGTTATGTCATGGGAACAGTCACGGTTGCGGGGCATTTGTGTTTGTAAACACACCTGACTTGTTTTTTTTTATGTTTGCAAATGTATCTTCTCTTTAAGTTTCACTTCTTGATTAGTGGCTAATTTCTAGGTTTTGTTTCATTTGTAAAGTTCTAAAATTTGATTTTCTTTCATGTTCACAGATAGAGAACTTTCCAGATCACTATGTTTTTCATCATCTAGCGACAGAAAAGAGATCCATCAGACCAAGTAGAGGAGACCACACAGCAATCAAACATGAAGCCGCTGTAAGTCAACTCACAAATGCTTAAATGATACCAAGATTTGACCTTTAAGTCTTTTGTGGAGATCCATGTTTCTGTTTAGAACTGATTTCCTCAATATTAGGGGCCATTCGGAATATTCAATGTTTTAAAATTTCGATCTTTTTTCCAAATTGTGGGTGGGTGGGTCAAGCTAAATAATTGAAAATCGAAATTCACTTTCCATGGAAAAAGATAAAAAAAAGAAAAAGAAAGATAGATCTTTTGACTTGCCTGAACTACGCGCAAGCTTTCTGATATCGCGATGCGTGTTTCTTTTCCAACTTCGTCCCCTGTATGTACTGTACATGTATGTCATGTACGTGTATATAAACCCACTGTGGCATGAGAGGGTGGTGGTTTTTCATTATACTAGCGAATGTTTTTCTCAGCTACCTCACGTTACAGGCACAACCTCGTATGTCATGTCATCCACCTCGATCATCCAGAAAACGACAAAACCACGGTCATCTTTGTGGCTTCCAAAACTGCAACCTGTCATTCCCAACAGCATATCAGCTGGCAAAACACAAGAAAACTGAAGGTCACCAGTGCAAAAGAGGAAAGACCGACAACTTCAAGCCGTCACTGAAATAGAAACACATGTACATGGGTATACATGTTCATGTTCAAGTACATGTATATGTACATAAGTATGCAAGTGCATGTACATGTACATGTTCAGTTTTTTATTAATCGAAATTAGGGGTGGGTGGGTGGGTAAAAATAATTGGAAAAAAAAGTCGAAATTTTAAAACGTTGAAAATTCTGAATGGCCCCTTAGAGTGTATTTTTTTTGTCAACCCGTCATATGTGCCAAATAGCCTTCATGTGAATTATTGTGGAGGATGCAAGGGCTACATGCAAATCATCAACATTCCAAATTAATCCATAATGGAGTGGATTTTTTGTTATCTCTGAAAAAGTTTCAGCGTACAGTGTACATTGCACATTGTATGTTAAAATAAAAACAAAAGAAGTTGTCAAGTACATGTACATGTACCTTCATGGCTGTTCTACTCTAAGTGGACATTATACAATTGGATTATCAGTGTTATGTTTCACATGATTGTGCTTAAATGCTATAAATACAGACAAAAGCATCAATATTCAAAATCTGATTTTCTTTCAAACTTTTCCAGGAATGATGGTGAACCCTTGTATAATAGACAGTTACCCTTGTCCAAAATCATCATGACAACCTTTGGTGACGTCATCATGACGTGGCATATCAAATTACAGGCATTTTAAGGTCAAAATTTGCCAAAATACTTTAAGATTTTATAACCGAACTGAATTGAGTACATGTTCAGTTTTGTGAGGTGGTAGTATGTGTTTTTGTCCCGCCAGTGAAGCCGAAGGGGCATACTGTTTCTGCCTTGGCTGTCCATGTGTGTGGTTTGTGACTGGGGGCGGGCCGCCACTGCGTTATGGGGAAGTTGCTTATTGTTAAGGAAATTAAGACTGAGTTATGGGGACTTTCTGCTGATCCTAGAATATTGTTTTTCGGGATATACAATGTACTGCATTCACTGAGCTGAAACTGCATCAGGTTAGTTGTTCAGCACCCATCTTTAAATTTTGAGCACTTCTGTTGCTTCAAACAAACACAATGCACAAATTACAAATGATTGACACTACCTATAATTCCTGAGATATGGTAATTAGGGTTGACAGTTAACACTTGCATGACCTTGACATCCTAAGAGGCACATTTTTAGACCAATAGAATTCTAGGTGCAAAGAACAAGAACTATGTACTTATTACATTGTAGAGATATGGTGGCCTCAAAATTGCCTCATTAAAAATACTCATGACAACATAAAATGAGAACAATAAACTGCACGGTAATAACAGAGCAACATATTTTTTTTCAAATGTTGCATCATAAAAATATAAGGTATCAAACCCAGTCCTTCATTTAAAGAAAATCCAGGAGAGCTATAAATCGCTCTCCTCAAATATTTGAGGAGAGCAAATCGCTCTCCTTAAAATATGCAGATAAACAGCGGTAAAACGACGGGTAACCATTGTTTTTGTTTTATTTTGAATATAAGGATTTATTCAAGGGGCTGCATTATTATTGTTTTTTGCATAATAACATATGCTCAAGTTACGTTACTTTTTTCGTTATTGTAACTGTTAGACAAGGTAAAATTTATTTTTAAAAACTAACTAAATGGAGATTAATAAAAGGTTTGACTACTGCTTAGGCTTTTATTTTTTAATACAGTTGTCAATTGGTTCATCACTGGATTATACTTGGAAAATGGAGAGTTAATAAACGGCACATAAAGCAACTGAATATTGGCTTTCAGATTCTTTAAAATTATATGAAATTTTCAGCCTGAACTTTCAATTGCTCTACGAAAGCTATACAAAAAGGGCCTCAAAATGACACAAACTTGCCTTAAGTTTTATCGAAAATATCTGCCGTCGATAATCTTAAAAATATTGGAAAATGCAGGTCAAGTATGCCATATACACAATCAGTGTTCTAGCCAGGGTGAAATTATAGCGTAGAGGTAATTTTGGTTCGGCGACTTATGCGAGCGCGGAGCGCGAAGCCCTTACGGCGTGGGGGGGGGGCCCGCTTAAGGGCCCCGAAAAATTTTGAACTCTAGATGCTCTGTGGTGCAATCTGAGGCGATTCCCTGCCACTTTCCCCTGATTTTTTTTTTAGCAGAAGTGTTTAAAATTATAAGAAATTTTGTTTTATTTGTTTCAATGATTAATACTCTTGCTCCTGTAAAGTTTCTTCTGTTTTCAAATTTTAGATTACGTTTACAATGTATAAGTTGTTCCAAGATCGATGCTTCTGATGTTTAACCATTTTTAGTAGTTCCTCAATGTTTTATAAAAAAAATGGGATTTACTTTGTCAATATTAAGTGTGAGAACAAATCGCATGAACATTTCATATTTCAAGAAGCCTTGTGTTGTGTGTAGCGCTGCCGTAGTAGCAGTAGTTCTGATTTTAAATTTGTAAATAAAACCATCCGGTCGGCAGGGAGAGAAATTGTAAAACCATGGAGGTCTCAGACATAAAAAGTCGTCGGCGATTGCAATTTCAATATGCTACAACACAATGTGAAGGAGAAATCTCATTTTGTTATGTTAAAAAATATAATTGTAGATAATGACGATGAGAAATAATCACCGGGAATGCTTCCTATACCGGCCGCGGCCGGCCCCGGCCCCGGCCGGCCCCGGCGTGCGGGCGCGGCGCGGGCCAGCCCACACGGCTACGCGACGAACTACGAGACCAAATTTCCTCAGCATTTGAGAAAGCCACGCATTCGTGGAGCGCTAAAAAACTGTTTTGTTGCAATACTTGCTGATTGATTTTGTCCTAAGAACAAAACAGATCCGTTTTTACTACCAAACTTATTGAACTGTTATTATCAGCAACGAGTAGTGTAGTCAAAAATCCAAATTTTCGACAGCGACATTCTTCGAGAAGAATTCTTCACGTGCGGCCATCTTGGGGACGGATCCATTGATATCGTAGGGGTGCTAACCTTTCTTGGACATCGTTTCTCGAATAAATCCTTTACGAAAATTATGTTCCGAGTTGAAGGACTTATTTTCAAACAGTTATATGTTTCGGACTGATAAAAAGTATATTTATAATTTAAAACAGTTGAAATGCTTGTAAATATTGACCTTAGGAAAGCACACCCGATAGCGCAAAATGGTGTGGTCCACGTCCGTCCGTACGGAGCGCTGTATCTACGCAGCACAAAACAGCACGTGTTATTGCTATCATAGCGAATGCGTGTGGCGCAGCATCACGGTAGGGGTATCGTACGGGGTACGTGCGGTGGGATCGTTGTTTATTTTCGCTGTGGTCGTACGGCCAGTGCGCAATGCTCAAAGTCGCTGCGCTTGTATACGAACAAACGGCAGATATTTTTTTTCG